ATCGGCAAGGCTTTGTACGAAGGCCGCGTCCTGGATTGTCACTTCAGTCGCGCAGTCTACAAATGTATCCTCAGTCGGTCAGTGTCTATCAAGGATATGGAGACTTTGGATCTTGACTACTACAAGTCTCTTCTTTGGATGCTTGAAAATGACATCACGGACATCATCACCGAGACGTTTGCTGTCGAGACGGATGACTTTGGTGAGAAACAGGTGATCGATCTTATTGAGAACGGTAGCAATATCCCGGTCACCGAGGAGAACAAGGAAGAATACGTGCAGCGTGTCGTCGATTATCGCTTGATCGGGTCCGTCAAAGAACAACTAGACAACTTCCTGAAGGGATTCCATGAGATTATTCCTGCCGATCTGATTTCGATCTTCAATGAGCAGGAGCTCGAATTGCTAATCTCTGGTCTGCCTGAGATTGACGTTGACGACTGGAAGGTCAACACTGAGTACCATAACTATTCGGCCTCGTCGCCTCAGATCCAGTGGTTCTGGCGTGCTGTCCGCTCCTTCGACAAGGAAGAGCGTGCTAAGCTCTTGCAGTTCGTCACGGGCACGAGCAAGGTTCCATTGAACGGCTTCAAGGAATTGGAGGGTATGAATGGAGTCAGTCGGTTCAATATTCATCGGGATTATGGCAACAAGGATCGCCTTCCAAGTTCCCACACTTGTTTCAACCGTAAGTACACAGAATCAATCGGCTAAAATCCCGCATGCTAACTCCGAGCCGCAGAACTTGATCTGCCCGAGTACGAGAGCTACGAGACTCTGAGGCAACGTCTTTACACCGCGATGACTGCTGGTAGCGAATATTTCGGGTTTGCATAAAACGACGGCGCTCATCCATCTTGTTGTTCACTCGAACAATGGGTCATGATTCGACATGCTTTTCCGTCCCCTTAATGCTGAAGCATATGATGGCGTTTTCATGATTCTTTTATTCTGAATTAGTTTGTACAATGCTGGGCTGATGGGTTCGTTTTCTATGCAGGGACATGGCCAGGACCGGGGTTTCTATGACAATTCGCCTGAAGTGCAGGTCAGACGGCTGTCACGGTTACTAGATTGGTCCAGACCTGCTCTGTTTAATCTTGTCTTTACCTTGACAATTTGTTGCCTTCAGTTTCTGTGTTGAAAGGTTCTCTCATCTTATGTACTTTCTCCCCATCAGCCATGGTGACAAATCAACACGATTGTTGTTCTATCATACTCCTCCATCCCCGACTCATAGACAGTTACTTGTATAATCGACTGACGACTTCTCGATTACTCATCCTTGCCCCGATCCGGGAGTCTGGAGGCGGTAAGGGAAAGTGGGTCCGGGGTCACGGGATGGCATTTTTTTCTGCTGGGCGAAAAAGTCACCCGCCGGCGGGGCATTCGATCTCAACTTTGACTTCTTCAGTCGCTTTTCTGTTTTCCGGTGTATGCGCCTCTTGTCTCTTCTGGGCATGCTCTATTTTGACTATTGACGTTGTCCAATATTCCGTCACATTTGAAACCTCCCTGCTCACCGGCTCCCTTCCATTATCATTCTACCCGTCCGCGCAATTCCCCAGAACCTTCACCTCGCGACTCACAATGGCAACCAACTCAATCAAGCTTCTGACTGGTAACAGTCATCCCGAGCTTGCAAATCTCGTGGCCGCTCGGTATGCGCTATAGAAGGAGCCTTGGTTCGGTCCTAATGCATATCATGGGCTAACAAGTTGCTTTGACCGGCAGGCTTGGCATTGAACTGACCAAGATCATGGTCCTACAATACTCCAACCAGGAAACTAGCGTCACGATCGGTGAAAGTGTACGAGATGAGGATGGTATTGTTGCCCCTCCTCTGCTTATTTTCTCCCTGCCGGGTGTGATGAGAAGTGCTCGCCGCTAACATGAACTCTGGTTTGCAGTCTTCATTCTCCAGTCGACGCGCCCGAACGATATCAACGACGGCCTGATGGAATTGCTTATAATGATCAACGCTTGCAAAACCGCCTCCGCCAGACGTATCACAGCCGTCATTCCTAACTTTCCCTATGCCCGTCAAGATAAGAAAGATAAGAGCCGTGCGCCGATCACCGCGAAGCTCATGGCCAACATGCTTCAGACTGCCGGCTGCAACCATGTCATCACCATGGACTTGCATGCCAGTCAGATCCAGGGCTTCTTTAACGTCCCCGTCGACAACCTGTATGCCGAGCCTAGCATGTTGAAGTGGATCCGGGAACATCTGGATGTGACCAACTGCGTCATCGTTAGTCCTGATGCCGGTGGTGCCAAGCGGTAAGCCACCGACACACTCAATACAAGGATTTCAAGGGCGCACGTGCTAAATGCAGAACAGTGCCACTGCCATCGCCGACCGCCTTGATCTGCAATTCGCCCTGATCCACAAGGAGCGTCCCCGCCCTAACGAGGTCTCGCGCATGGTCCTCGTCGGCAACGTGAAGGACAAGATTGCTATTATTGTTGACGATATGGCCGATACCTGCGGTACCCTCGTCAAGGCTGCCGACACCGTCATGCAGCACGGTGCCAAGGAGGTGAACGCCATTGTTGTCCACGGTATCCTCTCCGGCAAGGCCACCGAAAACATCAACAACAGCTGCCTTAGCCGTGTCGTTGTGACCAACACCGTCCCTCACGCCGAGAAGAAGGAGCAGTGCGATAAGATCGAGACCATCGATATCAGCCCTACCCTTGCCGAAGCCTGCAGACGTACCCACAACGGTGAATCCGTCAGCTTCTTGTTCTCCCACGCCGTCGCTTAAATGCATCCATGGTTTTTGACAGTACGAGGGTGGAGGTCGCACGGTGCTGCGTTGGTGATTCACCCTCCATGCTGAGTATGATCAGGCTCTTTCATGAATATTGAAGGACGCTGGAATGGTTTAACTTATGAAACTAAGGCTCGAACGGGATGCAATAGTCCCTCCTTGCGGCTTCGCTTTTTCTTCTTTTCCCCCCCTTAAAATGCAGCATCTCTAGATTATGAGGATTGCATGAAACACATGAGGCAGTGAGCATTGGACTCGATGGACGGAAATGGATTAAGAGAGACAAGGGGAAAAAGTCAAGGCTGTCTTTTTCTTTCTTGCCTGTTTTGGCTTTGTTTATCAACTCCAATTAAAGCATATGTACATATATTTATAACCCCCTTGGAGTTTTGCACTATTACGGTCTTAGTTTGAACTTCGACCACCAAGTACCCTTTTTATGAGCGGAATGAAATATGAAACGGATTTGATAGAGATCTTGAGGTTGTGCTTGATGTTTCACGGTGTAGACTCGGAAGATATCCTGTATTGTTTGTTTCCATAGATCGTATGTGATTTGTTTAGATAGGATAGTACTCCAACATCCGGAGCAAGATGCTCTTGCAGATTATGCGCCATCTGAAGTGCGGTCAGGATTGAGGCAGCCATCTGGAGATGTTTTCTTGAATTTTGGAGCACGAACTTCAATCCCGATTATCAATTCGCCTTGAGTATACTAGGTACAACAGGAAGAAAACACAGTATTGGATTGATCAACCGAGGAGAGTAATCTACCCACCCCCCTCTACATATATCTACATACAGTGCCTGTCGCAGGATGATTCCCGAATACAGTATTCTGCAATTACCAAGGCGCACACACATTCGCAAGCACTACTACAGGTATAGCTTCCATTTTCATGTTTGGCAGACTTCATGTTGAAATGATCAATCTAGCCATCGGATACAGTTAAATATGGTAGGTCGTGCCAATGTCGTCGAAAGTACCTTCCTCATAGGGAGGGTGACTTCCTTCCCCGGGCCCCTGCCCCTGCCCCGAACTCCTGGCCTCGTCGTCTTCCGCCCACAATGGACTACAAGTAGCTCCATATATTTATTCATAATTAAATTCGTGGTTTTATTCTCCCAGTGGTAACGGAAGAGCGCCTCTTGGTATCCAGGCACTAATGCATTGTCTTTAGTTTCTCTCTCTTTTCTATCTCCAAGTACCGATCCAGCTATACAACATTAAAGTAATGCATGCAATCCCTCTACATATACACCAACCCCTCCCCTTTATCTATGAGCCCCTCGCATTGGACGAAGACAGACCAGGTCAACTCCATAAGGATAGATGTGAGATAGAGTAGACTGAGTATCAGTGGGAACGCAAGTCAACTTGATCCACATTTCGTGATCGGGGCCTATGGGATTTTGAGACAGATTCGGTGGTCCCATTTACCTGGAGATTATTCGATTGACTGGGCCGACTGATGCTAGGTAGGTAGCCATAGTGGATAATAGGTTGGTTGTACAAGGAGTGCCTTAGTTGTTGTGATTTGAAGGGAAGGGGCATTGCGAGAGTGACACCATAGAATCCAGGCAGTAACGACAGAAACCTAAGGCATTAGGCGGCACCGGCCACTTGGGGGCCAGATTGATTGATAAGGGCTTAAAAGGGGGTTAGGTTAAAAGGTCCGGTCCTCTCGGTGTGTGCTGACCTCCCTCTCCGCAAGTGGGCGGCGGGTTTTCTGTTTGTGGGACGGACGGGTTTGGTTGGAAATTGGATCGTGAGGTGGAGACCACCACACACATTACTACACTACACAACGCTACGCTACGCTGCGTTTTATCACTTTGTTGTGTACTTTTTTTTTTGGGAGAAAGGGGTGAGTATGGGTTGTAGAAGTGGCTGGATTTGTGATAATTTAGCATAATGTCAGTTTGAGTGAGTAGTGTTTGGACTGTCTATTTAGGTACTGTACAGCGCGAGGGTGCTACATCTACCTACCTGTGTGTATGTGGAAGATAAAGCTTGGACTTTTGGGGTAAAAGACACTTGAAAGTTCTTTCACGGCAGAAGTAAGCCGAATCGTAGTACAGGTAGATGTTCGATCCTCCGGGCGAGAATGATGTTTGAACCACGGAATTCCACCTTTACCTGTACCACACAAGGGGCGAGGTACTTCGAGATGCTCCAGGTTGAAAATGGAAGATGAGAAACGATGGTTAGAAAAAAAGAAAGGGAACACATTTTAACATTTTTTGCTTTTCATGCCCATTAGAAAGGTTTGGGATATTGCATTTCCATTTTTTGGATAAAACAAATAAAGTGGCACGCCAAAAGTCTTGGTCCCGCAGACGCCCATAATCTCCTCCGTCCCCCAACCTTTTCTCAACTCTCTAATTTTCCTTCCGTCAAGGAAGCCGTGGACTACGTTCGTTGCCCTGCTACGAGAAGTGCAAGATAGGACGCGAGAGAGAGAGAGAGAGAATGAAAGAAGAGGGAAGGAAACCCCCTTCCCGTTGCTGAGATTTCCTTTCCTAGACTTTCTTCCCACGCTGCAAGTCTCTAACATGTACTAGAACAGAGACGACACAGACCCGACCATTATTCCCCGTGGACGAAAAATATTTACTTTCTCATCGAAGAGGCTCTGCGCTTGCGGAGCTCGTCACGCTTGGCCTTCTCCTCGTGGACACGGCTGGCAAGGAGCTTGGCGTAGTCGTTACTATTGGGGAGGTTGTTAGAACCGATCATGATCCGAATGACCTGAGACAGTCGGTAGGATGGGGAAAAAACTTACGCAGCCTCGCGAGCAGCCTCAGCGCGGCGGCGCTTGAGGGCAACCCTTTGGCGCTTGCGCTGGAGACGCTGGGGAGTGACCAGACGCTGGATCTTGGGGGCCTTGGTGTAGTCGGCCTTGCCCTCACGGGTGACGGTACGGCGGATGACGAACTTGCGGACATCATCCTTCTTGTCGAGACCGAAGAAACGACGGATCTTGGTGGCACGCTTGGGGCCGAGGCGCTTGGGGACAACGGTGTCGGTGAGACCGGGGAGCTCACCCTCACCCTGCTTGACAATGCTCAGGGCAAGGACAGCGAGATCCTGACCGGTGATGGCTGTGGAAAAGAAACATTGCGTGTCAACACCCCGACTCGTCCGTCATCTTCAAGAATCTCGGATCTGTAGAACATACCACCACGGACACTCTTGCGCTTGCGCTCACCGGTGCGGCGGGGGCGGTAGCAGCTGTGGCCCTCAGCGAGGAGGAGGCGGGTACGGGTAGGAAGGAGAACTGTTCAAAAGGCGGAATCGGTAAGTTTTCTGTCTGGTTTGTCGTGTGGCTGGGCGTTCATAGTTGGTCGGTACATACCACCCTGCTTCATGGGGAAACCTAATCATGTCAAGTTAGCCTTCATGTCTCGATATACGAACACATGTCATTCCAGTCTGCTGCGCGCATCCTCCAGCCCCCGAATCCTTCCCCGCGCTCCCCATAACTTCTCCAACCGGCGCAGCAGATGAAAGACGAAAGAATAGTGGCGTTCCAAAATCGTACCTTGCTTGTCGTTACCACCGGTGATCTTGAGGAGGTAACCCTTGAATTCGTCACCGAGGGAGTCGCCGGGGACCTGTAATTGCAAAATTCATCCCAATCAGCCATTCTGTTCATCCATTTCCCCGTCGTGTGTGTGATCGTGTGCAGATGTGTTTCTGAAGGTTCTGTGTGTGTTTCTTCTTTCGATGTATGTGGTTTTCCGAGCGCGTCCATTTTTCAAACAGGGGAGGAGAGGGTAATGCTGACTTCGGTTCCCATGCGCTTCTCCATGAAGGGACGGAGCTTGCGCTCATCGTCGATCTCGATGATCTTCTGAGACCCATTGGCCGGGTAGGAGATGTTGAGCTTCATCTTGACGGGGCTGCGCGGTCAAGACGGAGGGCGCGGGTTTGTCGACAGGTCGATGAGGTTCAGGTCGTCGGGGATTCGTTCTTCGTGGGATTTTTTTGGTGGTGTAGCGAGATTTCCCTGTGTGGGCGGATGACTAATGCCACTAGCCCGTTGCGTGCTAGCGCTCTCGGTAGGGCTCTTATGTCAGCCGACGGCACCTGATTTCTGCTTCTGCCTGAAGCTGCAGGCATCTGCACGTGTCTTTCGACACCCACAAACTCAGGCAAGAAGCCAGGCACCAACCAGGCACTTCACCAGCAGCTGCTTCCATTCAACCGAGTCGCACGCCCAGCACCAATGAAGATGCTACCCTGCAACTAACAAAGTACTCCAGCGACTACATCCGTCACTATCTTACCCTCTGCCCTTGCAATACAATGTCACAAATCTTTGTCAGTCTCAGACATAGGCAACAATGCACAATCTAACATGCATTGCGTCCATGACAAACGCACACAAACACGTACATACAAACACACACAATCGAGGTGGCCAGCACTGCAGCAAACGCCCATACCCATTGTCGTTGCACACGGTGTCAAACCACCTACCCACCCCCCCATCAATGAATGATCATGCGGGTCATCCGCCTTCACTCTGACCAAGCAACGGCACAAATCAAGCCACCTTGAGGAGGACTTTTCATGCCTGCCAATTAATTTAATCCCACTCCCTACGTATTTGAGATTCAACCAGAATAACACGGTCGCATTGAATCCGACCTGGTAGGTCTCGTGCCCGCCCGTGCAAGTAGAGTACCTACTCAGTAGTAAAGTACAGTCGTTGGTGGACTAAATCAATCGCCGCAATTTCCCTTCTCATGGCGAAAGCGAAATTCGTCATCGGAATTTCGGTCGAGATTGACTGTTTGGAGATAGTTAGCGGTCGGGGGTTATGCAGTCCGCACGCACGCACGCTGACACATAGATAGATAGATTAACTAACTAAGAAGAGATTTGGTAGATCGATCGATAGGTATGGATGAAATATCAACGGGCATGATTCGGTACACTGCCCTCGAAAGGAACAGGAAAAACCCCCGTTCAACATACTGAGTAATCACTAATTCGAAGATCTGTCCCCAGGTTTTTGTTGATCTGGCTAGACCTTAAGTTACCGACTGCATATCCTACATGGTACGTATGAACGGCATAAAATTTCATGTTTTCTTTAATATGGGTAGAGAGGATCCCGTTGGAGTAAGTTAACTTAGCGATTCTGACGCAACCCCCTCCAAATCGGCCAAGCAAAAAGAAGCCTGGAGCACGCGACTGATTACCGTTCCGAAGCCCGCCGCGCGGCCACTGGAAGATGATTTGACAGCCTTATTGCGGCCATGAGGCGGCCGCAGCGGCCGCAGCAGCAGCAGTAATGATGCTGATATGGTTGTCATCGTCGTCTCCATTTTCTCCCCAATAGAGTACTACTCCTGAAGAACTAGAATAGTATACTCGTAATCAATCCCTTGAACTCTGGTGGCGAGGAAGCACTTTCTTCTCGGTCACCTTTTGACTCTCTTTTCTCCCTTTTCAATCCTACTACGCTTTTCTACTCTCTCCTTTTCCCGATTATCATCCCTCTCCCCCCCCTCCACCACCCAAAATTATCGTACTCGTTCAAACCCTCACAGAAAATCAGTCTCCAGTCTTACGTCTCCACTTTATCCGGGTTCGCTCGCTGTCTATCGCCACGCTAACTTATCGTCTGCGGTACCACCGGAAGACGACGTCGTTGTCTTTTGTCGGGTCCCCTCCCATCTTGTTAAATTAGGGGAAAAAGCAGGAAAAAGTCCCTGCTGGCTGGTTGTTGGCGCAGCAGATCGATCCCCTACAGACCCGACTAGTTTACCACTTTCCTCTTCCTCTTCCTCTTTCTATCTCTCGTTCATCTTCTCTACTCTATTATACTAGGCTTTCCTCGTATTCTTCGTTTTTCTTGCTTAAGACAAGAAACTTGATCAACTTCCTTTGAAACTTAAAAAGCGGCGCAAGCTCTCCTTAGTCGGCTGGAACACGCCCGCAACGCAACAAAGACATCGGCCGGTCGCTTCGAGTGTCTATCGGCTTCTCCGCGCGCCAGCCTTCACCACCTTTGTCGCAAACTCGCCGCCGTCCTTTGTTCGCGGCCCTTGATGTCCCGTACTCATGCGCCTCTTTAGCAAGTTCCACGCCGTCTGCGCCTTGGCGATATGCAGCATCCTGCTTTCTGCCTCATTCCTCGCCTCTCAGCACTATTATCGCCGGGTCGTGGCAGATGAGCCATCGGCTAAGCTCCGCCCGGCAGCGTCATTTGACCGCCGTCTAGTTGTATTTGGGGATTCTTGGAGCGACAATAATGCCGCTGAGATCCAAGGGTCCGTTTGGACCGAATGGCTGTGCTCCTCGGTAAGTGCAGTGCTATGAGATCAGATACCATCCCACTAGGTATGACAGGCTAATCATCCCTTCACTGGCAGTTTTCATGTCACCATGAGAACTTGGCCGAGACCGCCAAGTCTTACAGTGGAAATTACTTTGGCTCGGTCGTGGATAACTCACAGCTATCGGGCTCTTTACTCAACCTATACAAGTCTCCCCTGGCCGACCTGAAGGCCCAGGTCAGCAATTGGTTGGCAGCCGAGACAGAGGTAATGCAGGCGATGAGCGCAGAAGCGATTGGCACCCGTCAAAACCGGACCATTGTCATCCTTTCCTTTGGCGTGTGGGATCTGTGGAATGTTGTTGGCAAGACATACAAAGAAGCGACCCAATCGATCGACAATACGCTGGACGTGATCATGGATCAGCTCAATCTGCTGGCGGAGCTCTGGGGCCACAACGATTTGAAACTTATCCTGACTTTGGCCCCGGATGTGACCTTCTTGCCTGCATTCCGGGTCCAGGCCGAACAACACCAGGCGAAACAGAAAGACGCCATTAGCATGTCCGACTATTGGAACCAACACCTGCGACAAAGAGCGGATGGCTGGGGCAATGGCACGATCTATCTGTTCGATACGAATGCTTTCCTTGCCGACCAGATCCGCGACTGGCAGCTCTTCGTTGCGGGGATCGAGGAGACCAATGGATTGGGAAAGAACGAAGACCCTGGCTGGGAAAACGTAGAAGACGCATGCGTCCAGAGCAGCCAGCAATGGATGGTGACATCAGAGACGAAGAAGTGTGACCGTCCGGAGAAGTTTTTGTTTTGGTAAGAACAAGGCATTATCCTTGGCACTCATGACTCGACTGGAAAGGCTGACCAATTTCCCTTCAGGAACGAGATGCATTTGGGACCGTCCGCGCACCGACTTTTGGGCATGGAAGTCTTTCACGGAATCCAGGAGATGTGGCTCCGGTAAGGTTCTTTACACGAACAAAAAGGAAAGAAACCCACCAGACACAAATGGAAAAAAAGACAGACAGAGAACAGAAAAAAAAGAGCAAGACACACAAAGAAATGTTTCAACTTTCCTTTGATGGGATCCTGGCCAATACTACTTAGTCGTAATTCGCTTTGCAGGGAGCGATGACTTGTAGAGGATGACTGGTAAACACTGGCCTGTTCCCGAAACCATCAAACGCTGACGGAACAGGCGACCAAGAGGTCTTGGGCTCAGCTCTCTATTGTCGGGCCTGCACACGATCGCAGTTCAGGCGATGCTGGAGTGAGACCACTTGAGTCTTGTGGCGTCACCAGTGGAAGGTACCGGATAGCATCACTAGCATCCGGGTTGAGATAGCAGCTGAACCGAGTTCTGACAAGGTTCAGAGGTCTCAGGCACGGCTTCCGATCTGAATCAGGGATTGGCAAGGTGGTATGTCTCATTGAGAGACCGGGAAGAAAAGCAGCAGAGGGTATCCGTGACGTCCGCTTCAGTCGGGTGGAGGATTGTTGTAACGTGATTGTAACGTGACTTGGAATTACTGGGGAGGTGTGCCAGGGATGCAGTGGGTGCGGCATGCGATAACCTGAATCAGCACCGACTCAGAGAAGGGAACTGACTTGGTCCTGCAACCTCAACGTATCAATGAACCAATATTCTCCCCGAAGGCCTGGAAGGAGTCTGGATCCAAGCTGATCAAGAATGATGCAAGATGAAAAGTGACTTCAGTGGGTACTAGGTAGGTAGTATTCTTTGTGAAAGATAAGTTGAACATGGTTTCGGAGGGGAACAACAGGGGAAAGTGGTTGGGTGGGAGAGTGGGAGGAGGAGGAGGAGTAGGAGGAGGAGTGGGTTTGGAAAGAACAGGGGGAAGGGAACTATCATTGGTGTGGTTTGTCTCGTTTAAGAAGTATAGTACGTACAAGCAGTTCTGAGTACATTTGAGAGTTCAAAGTTACTTATGACCTTTGCTGGCCCTGCTCCTTTGTTTGAAACAAAAAGAGGGGGTGCGAGCGGCTGTCAGACAGTCTCGGGACGATCAGTCACTAGCTGATGAACTTCGTAGCTCAAGCAAATGAACTATCTGTCGCGGTCTGTTTCCTAGGGGGGTAAAATAGGCAGAGCGCTGAGCCCGGATGGGAGACCGCTAGTTCCGCTTGGCCTGTCACTGGGTAGCTTTCTGTTAGCTGCTTAGCCCCGAGGCCCAGGTACCGGTACCTGGGGAAAAGCGATTTAGGAGGGGGGGGGGGTGTTACGAACGGTCTAGATCTGGATCTTGCGTGTACTTCGTAGATACAGTAGTAACTTGGAATGGACGTACATACAGTACAAGAATACTCATATGTATGACGCTAGGTCCAGGTGTAAATGGAGGAGGACTCTGATGATATCTTGTTTCGAAAGTACTGTATCTAGTGCATACCTACTAACCACACTCACTATACCTCAGGGATTATGTTGGCTGATTGCTACTCCATTGTCAGGAGTACGGTCAGTAGTTAACCCGACAAGGTCCAGTGAGACTGAAGAAGGAAAGGTACGGAGTACTGTACAAGGTACTGTACACTTGTTTGGGGGTTGGGGGAGGGGGGGCAATCAAACCCCAAGAGTACCGTAGTTCGAGCTCATTAGACCTGATTAGCACTAAAGTTCGGGTGTCACATTGGCGGTGGGGAAAAGGGCGTGGATGTGGATGTGATTGGCCTCGGATGGCAGCCGCCCACCGCATGCGGACTCCCCGAGAACAAAGGAAACATTGCGAACAATACCTACCCTTCCATCATGGATCCATCCCATCCCATCCCATCCTGTAGTAACTATCGGCTCGGCCTCTTCTCTAAATATCACCTTCATCATAGATGATTAGGAAGTTGGTAAGTAGGTCATCACTGGACCTTTCTGGTTCGAGTTAGTCTGACATGATTCTGTTTGCTTGTACAAGTTAGTTAGGTGACTTGGATGACTCAATCATCCTCATCCCTCCCTCCCCCCTGTTGACAGTCAATACCGTCATTATCCCATCCCATCGGTCTCCTTTGTTACCACTCCACCTAGTAACAATTCTTCTCTTCCCTTCGCAATCATCCAATATAATCTGTTTATGATGTCAACCTTCCGGCAGCCCACGGACTACCCATTGCGGTGTTCTTTCTATTCCATTGTAGTATGGCAACCTGCATCCCACTTGATGAGATTTGGGGTTCCATTTGGATCTCGCGAAGAAACAAACTATCTTGTGTGGTGGAGATTTCCAACTAAGGCCGGGCTATTCGGCTTATCCTGGCAAAGACAGACAAAGAAACCCCGGTTCCAGAATAAGGTGATTTCATGTAGACTAAGACCTAAGACGTACGTAGTAGGGAAGGGAAAAAAAGTTAAGGCACCGGGTCCGAAGATAGTCGGCTCTTATAACAAAGCACTTCAGAAAGCCAAATCCCCTCCGGCTTTCTTCCCCGGCGCCCTCCCTTTTGGTAGGTTTGGTTTGAATAGGAACGTCCTCTCATTCATTGTCAAAAGTTCCCCTCCCCCATGATTGAAATTCGGACGAGAGAGAGAGAGAGAGAAAGCAAGAAAGAAATTCGAAGAGGCTTCCACAATAAAGAAAACGCAAAGGCAAACCAACCCTATCCTTGACGCCCAGGGAAAACAAAAGAAGAAACACAAGTCCCTTGCCCATCGTTATTGGTATTATTCTCATCATCCTTATTATTTTCATTATTATTTACTATCGTCTTTATTATTATTCTTTCGGTCAGGCTGGTCATTACTATTATCCTCCTGATTATTATTATTTCCACTACAATTTTGTGAATTTGTGAATACCGAGTGTGTTGCCAGCCCAGCAGCAACTTCCCCGACCACGAGGCAAAGTCATTCGTTTCTAGCCTACTCAGCCCTCATTTTTGATTGATTGATTAATTGATTGATTGATTGATATGTGCATGTCTTTCTTTCATCAGCTTAAACTTCCCTTCGCCTCTATTCCTTTCTTTCGTCTCGAATACCGAATTCTATCCTCTATAATTCTTTCCCACCCCCCTTCTGCTCTCTTCCAGCGGTCGTTCCGTCCTTTCACTCCAGCTGAACCACAATCACCAACTACACGCGCCCTTCCTTTGCTCACCTTAGGATACTCGTCGGCCACCCCCTCTACAGCGTTTTCTTAAATGGCTTTTGATCGAGTTCTTCCCAAGCCCCCTGCTTTACGATATGATCCTTCTTTGGCCACGCTACCTCCATCAACCGGTAGTCTCCTTGACCATAAGATTATGAACGACGGCTACTCGAAAATGCCTGTGATGGACCATCACCATCGCGATGTCGCTTCGTTCGTAGCGCCTCGCCGGTGGGCCGACAGCTTCACCCATACGCATATGGCCCACAATCGGCACAAGATAGCCATGAACAAAACTGTACCTTCCCTGGAGGCCTCGAAACCACCGGCTTTTTTGGGCACCACGTCGATCCCTCTACGCGAACGGTCTTCCGTATCAGAGCGCTCATCCTCGCCCAGCCCAGTCAAAGCCTCGGCTTCGACCACGAGAGAATCAGCGGCCAACTTTTGCCTATGTCAGCCAGATCCGAAGATCCCCAGACCTAGGAACGGTATGTAGCTTCAGGCGCACGAATCGCTGTCGCTATCGTACCCCCATGTGCAGACCAGCTGATCAAAATGAATGCAGCATTTATCTTGTATCGCCAACATTGGCAAGCATCAGTCGTGGCTCAACATCCGGGGCTAGCCAACCCTGAAATCTCGAAGATCATCGGGGAGCAGTGGAGAAAACTGTCCCAGGACATCAAAGACACATGGAAGGCTCTAGCAGAGGTGAGTGGAATTTACCATCTTGGGCCGGCCGAACATTCCTTTTTAACATGATTGATGTTTAGGAGGAGAAAGCCCGCCATCAGCAGCAGTATCCGGAGTACAGATATCAGCCTCGTCGCTACGGCCGCGATGGAAACTCCCGTAACCCCAGCTCTGGCATCAGCCATAACCCGCCCGGCTCCACAGTCTGCAGCCGGTGCGGTGGCCGAGTTATGAACCCGCCCGTATCACCGGACGCGCCGCCTTTTACCCCCAGAACCTCGGGGTTCAATAGCGTCTCTCCACAGGTCGAGACTGTCGCCGTGCGCAGCAGCCAGGCTCGGTCCAAAGACATGGATCGAGCCCCAAGTGTGGTCCGAATCGCTCCCACCGGGGAGTCACAGTCACCTCGTCAGCGTCATTTTGAGGAGAGTGGCAGCCGGTCTCCGGATAGCAAGCGCCGCCGATTTAATCCCCAGGTTTCTTTCAAAAACAACATTCAACGTGACCGGAGCCCTGATTCTGCATATCCCGTCTCTCCTTACACACCTCACTCGACTGTCTCTGATACAAGAGGGTTTCTTCAGTTGGCGCCACCTCAGAGACCCGTTCGAAATGTTAAGGATTTTACCCCCCCAGACCCTAGCCTCAAACTCCCTCCCCTACAGACCACTACTGTTTCTTCTCAGCCGGGAGCTATGACCCCGATGACCCCTTTTGCACGGGACGGATCTACCCTCGAAGCCACGGTCATGACGATCCCATTCCTCAACAAGATCAAGGTCCTTGCTAAGATATCGCCTCCTCTCGCCCCCCCATACCACGGCAATGCGGCACCCCGGCGGGGAGCCGTGATTGCGGTGGATGGGCAGGATCCAGCTTTGGTCAAGACAATGGTTGACCATCTCAACAACACCCTGCAGAAGGAAGGTAGATATCAGACCCACACTTTCACCGGACCGGATATCAATCCCCGAAAGAGCTACTCCGACTCGGATCAGATGGGAGACGCGACAGTCGACTACCTTAACATCATCTCCGACTGGCACCGCATCTCCGACAAGATCATAAACTTTGTCAAGCCGGTGCGGGCCTCGTCCGAGCCCAAGTCCGAAAATGAGGAGCCCACGGGCGTGTCACCTCGAACGATAGTCCCAAAGACTGCCGAAATGCAGATCAATTCACGTGAACCGTCGGCGGAAGGCCAGTCGCCGTCGGTGGCTCCGACAGAAATCAACACCAACCGGGTACCAGTTGCCCTTGTTCCTCGGTATCAACTGACCACTGCGGACGCATTTGCATGCTCTGTGCAGATAGGCGACTCGTATGCACCACTGGATCATTGGCAATGGATGGCCTCTCTCTGGCGTGCCTGCGTAGGGCCCGACATCACAGTCTATATCCGAGAGTGCGAAAAGGAGGAACTGGACCGATACGGAGGCAATCCCGTAGAGGTCCGCCTGCAGGACGCGCGAACGATCGTTGTGCGACGGGCGGCGTCGTCGTCCAATGAAATGGAGGAGAAAATTTTGAAAAGAGTAAGCTTTGAGATCGAGGATTTCCTGACGCAATGATCGATTCTGTATCTTTTTCTGGCCATTACTGAATTTCTGATAACTTGCCCGCCCTGGATGTAGTATTTCCAGGCTCTCACTTTCCCTGGCGCTCGATGCCCATCTTGTATAGGTTTGTTGTTCACCTTCAATGTATCTTTCAAGGGTCATGTGGCGCTGTGGATCCGGGAGGTTCTTACTCTGATAATCTTCAACAAACTGAGGCGTACTCAATCGTGGAGGACATTTGATAATATATGTGATTCCCCTATATTGAAGATGTACAAAGTATACAAATTTCACAACAAAATTGACATCTTCTATCGACCCTCATGAGGGGCATTTGGCATGCCATATATTCTGAAGCATCTGTCAACCAAAAAAACAGGCGATCTTTTGGATGTACTGTACATATGAACGTGTCAGGACTGTTGGTGGGGTGCAGTTCACAGTGGAGTGGAGTAGGTAACACAAGATCGAAGCCGTAAGTTGCCTCAGGCAGAGACCTACATAGGTTAGTTCGTGAGGTACTAACTTACCTTACAAAGCCAATATAACCTTATCCGGCACTGAAGAGGGCGGTGACGCGTGCTACCCAATTACCATGAAGCGATTGTGGCGCTTATCGGCAGATCCTCCACCCCGACCCTCGATCGATGATGCATCGAGCTGCAAACCCGGGGTCGCCCACCACTACCACGTACCACCTTCAGGTACTGTATATAGTACAGTATATGATCCACTTATATGCAGGGCTAATGCGGCTCTGTGGTCTTCCTCCCTCATTACTCTTATTCTCTGTTTGAGACCGCAGAAATTTTCTTTGTGTGTTATGCCCAGTGAAGAACTTGACCCAGGCCAGTGAGATCGCCGCCGACCAGATTTTGGCTTGGTCCCTAGTTGCGGATCAACACACAACAACAAACACCCTGGGTCGCGCAAGATTCAAGTGCTTTTATCGTTGTTATGTTGACCGCCAATGAAATTGCTAATGTGACATCTGCACCTGTTGTCGATACCCTTGACTGTCAGGTATGTTCAAAACACCCTATTAACATGGAGGCTATATTGTTCTCTCCCTGCCGGAGCTGCCAACTTTGAAAAAGAGGATGGTCGCTGACCGGTTGCTTCTACCCCCTTTCTCCCCGGGGAGAAGGGGTATTCCTGGCATACAGACATCACTACCACACACCCTAGGAATCAAGTATGACACCATGGCTCTCGACTGCGACCAGGAAGCCCTATCCGCCACCGACTTCTACCCGGGACTAGAATCATCGGTCGACTCCCCGGCCTCGACGCCGACCCCTGCCACGCCCCAGTCCGAATGCCCCGCTCCCCGAAGCATCGTGGCGATTGATACGCCTACTGCCACGGCCGCTGCTGTTGCTGTTGCTACTGCAGGCAGGGACGGGGAAGGATCGGACATCTCGCTCGACTCGTACATCGCCGTGGGGATGCTGCGCAAGCGCAATCCGGTCTACGGGAGTGTGGAGGAGGCCCCGGCAGCGGAGGCGGCGGACGGATACCCGGCCTCCCAAGTCGCCAACCTGGAGAGTCACCAGTGGATCCGGACGATCAGTTTCACATACCCGGAAGAACACTCGTCGTGGTGCGGGGTGCAGGTCTACGTGCTGCCGGATGATGTGGGGCGCAAGCACCTGCCGCGGTCGAATCCGGCGTTGCGCCGGGCGCTCAAGGTCGTCATGGAGAGGGTCGATCGCTCGGTGGAAGCGTGGTCGGGCGACTTTGTCGCGGATTGGAACACCTGGGGCCCCACTAAGCGGGATCCAGAGGAGGATGGGAAGGAGGAAGAAGAGGAGTCTCTTTGGTACATTTTCAACACCCTTCAGGATCCGGCGCCTCGGGCAGATATGATCAAAGATAACCCGTATGCGAGGAGGGCGATGGAGCAGTTGCTTACCGTGACGACGCCAGCGCCGGCGTCGAGCGGAGGGGAGGGGAAGGACGACGAGGAGGAGGAGTCCGGTCAGGATCATTCAGGGGTATTGGGACTCAAGACGCCGTTGTATCCCTACCAACGTCGCTCGGCTGCGACAATGGTGCAGCGGGAGGCTCAGCCGGCGCAGATGCTGGATCCTCGGCTCGAGGCTCGCAGAGGTCCAACGGGGCAGGAGTATTACTATGACAAGGAGGAGGGACGGATTGTGCGGGAGAAGAGAATGTATTCGGAGGCTTGTGGAGGTTTGTTCTTGGCTATGTCAATTGTGCGTGTTCAGGGGAAGTCAAACTGCTGACGCTCTATGTGCTAGGGATTTTGGCGGAAACGATGGGCTGCGGTAAAACACTGATCAGTCTGGCGGTGATCTTGGCAACACGGGGGCATTTCCCGGAAATCCCCCTGGAGTACCAGGAATTAAACCCTCGTGTCCGGGACACGACTGGAAGTCTGGTCGAGATGGCCGCGACGACCGCCGGTCGGTTCTCGCTGCCATGGAAATCCCACTTTGATGAACTAGGCCACTACGGCGCCTTGTATAACAGATGTGTTCAGGCGTGTGAGAGGAATCGCGGTTCATATACTACACCTCCGGCCCTTGCTAGGCACAGAGGTCGCAGCGGCGTGCCGTATCCGAGGCCGCCTCCCCAGAAGCTTTATCTCTCTTCGGGCACGTTGATCGTTGCTCCACCGAATCTGGTCAGCCATTGGGAAAAGGAAATCGAAATGCACACGCAAGGCCTCAAGGTACTTATTCTACGATACAACAGCGACCAAATCCCCTCACCTGATGAGCTGCTGCATTATGATATCATCCTCTTCTCGAAGGTACGCTTCGAGAAGGAAGCTGGTGAATCGGCCCATCTCACTCGGTACCTCTCTGAACCTCCAACTTCCCCCTTGACCAAGATCCATTGGTTGCGTATCATCGTCGATGAGGGCCATAATGCCGCCGGCAGCGGACATCGGTCGAACATGGCTCATCTACTCAAGCAGCTGCGCATTGAGCGGAGGTGGGTTGTGTCTGGTACCCCGTCCAGCGGGCTTTACGGGGTAGAGGTTAGTTTAGCCTCACAGGAGACCCACACCAGCGATACGGACTTGACCGAAGCGATGATGGCTGTGTTAAAGGGCCGGAAGAAGACCGGCAAGGCTAAGGATGGTGAGCTCAAGGATCTGGAAAAGTTGCGGCGGATTGTGATTGATTTCCTTGAGCTGAAACCCTGGTCGAACTCCCGGAATCGGACAGATGACCAGGCCAATTGGGTCACATATATGACGCCTGTAGGGCCTGGCTTGAAACGGCGAAAGGCCTCATCACTCCGGGCTACTTTGCAGAGCCTCGTCGTTCGTCATCGGTTGGATGTCATTCACAACGAGATTACGCTTCCTAGACTTTACAACCGAGTCGTGCAGCTGGAGCCGACTTTCTACGACAAAATGAGTCTTAATTACTTCATCTTCATCTTGGCAGTCAACGCAATTACCTCGGAAAGAAAGGATCAAGATTACATGTTCCACCCTCGTAACCGGAAGCACTTGGGCCAGGTTATCAGCAATCTTCGCCAGGCGGGATTCTGGTGGGCCGGCTCAGATGAAGGCCTCTCAAGTACGATTGAAAATGCTTTGAAGTACTTAGAGAAGAACCGCGATACGATGACCGACAATGATATTGAAATGCTACAAGAGGGCATCCAGCTTGCGGAACAGGCTCAGGCGTGTAGCAGCTGGCATGCCTTCAAGCAGATGCACGAACTCGGTGTTTTCGTCAAGGACTTTCCTTCGCATGCTCGAAGCATGTGGGCCCTCGATAATACAAGCGTAGAGGATGAGCCTCTGCTACTTGGAATCACGCAAGCGCATCACGCGCAGCGATTCGTTACCAAACAACTGAACACACCCGACCCGGCCGACGGGCTCGCTGGCGCAGGCATCAAGGTGCGTCGCGAGCTTCGACTCGCTAGTAGCAGCGAGGGCGACAACTTCGAGACGAAGAAGACTACACCAGACAAGCCGATCAAGAGTAGATCGCCCAAGAAGACCTACAGCAAGGGTCTGGTGAAGACCTTGTCGCCTGACTCCCCTCTCGCCAAAACCAAACTCGTCGCCACCGCCTCGGCCAAACTGACGTACCTTCTGGATCAGATCTCCGAGTACCACAAGAGCGAGAAAATCATTGTGTTCTACGAGAACCCCAACACCGCATACTGGATTGCGGAAGGGATCGAGCTTCTCGGAATCGATTTCCGGATCTACGCGCAGACCCTCAAACCCGACACCCGAGCGGAGTACCTGACCCTGTTCCGCGAGTCCGAGGAGGTGCGTGTCTTGCTCATGGATCTCCGGCAGGCCTCGCACGGACTGCACATCGCCAACGCCTCGCGCGTCTACATCGTCAACCCCATCTGGCAGCCGAACGTCGAAAGCCAGGCGATCAAGCGAGCGCACCGCATCGGCCAGACTCGCCCCGTCTTCGTCGAGACGCTCGTGTTGAGGGACACCCTGGAGGACAAGATGCTGCGGCGCCGGAAGGCCATGACCGACAGTGAGATCCAACATGCCGAGCGCGACCTGCTGGACGATAGCACAATGAGCTCGATCATCCAGAACGAGCGCTTCATCCCCATGTCGGAGAACGAGCCCCCCTCTTCCGCCACGCGACTAGCCTATCTGAAGCACCCTGCCGGATTCTTCAGTCGACACAAGCTCGCGGTCGCCGACGACGAGGATGTCTCGAGTGTCGAGATGGCGGGGACGGCGGCAGCCGCGACTTCTTCTCCGAAGACACCGCCGGCCGCACTCCGGAGGAAACGCGCGCGTCTCGTGCCGGTACACCTCAGCGACAGCAACTCCTCCGGACCGGACATCGTCACCCCGAAACGGCGACGGACCTCGGCGCCGAGACCGAGCTTCGTATCTCCGCAGGGAATCCTCATGACGCCTCCACGGAGTTCCAAGTCCCCGCGGCCCACGGTCCGTTCGGGGGAGTCGTCGAGTGGTCGTTCAAGTCCGGCTGTACGAAGATAACGAAGTGTATTGATCGGGCTTGATATTGGATCTACATGACGGGATAAAGAGAGGGCAAAACATTCGGTGTACCCTATGTACCATATATGGAGATTCACTTACTATGTATCACAACTTCTACAAAAGATGTGCAGTATTGTATGTAAATCACCCAATCATGAATTACATTGTAGTAGTGCCGCAAAAAATGTCAGTGCAATCGCGCGCGCGCGCGATAACGATAAGACGACGGTACGCCGCGGGCCCCACCTCAGCTTGCTATCGCGATAAACCCGCCGATCAAGCACGTACTTTACGGTGAGTCCTACCCCTACCCCTCTTCCCTTTCCTCTACTCCCAGCTCTTCTTCCGAGCCACCTACCTACCTACGCCTCAACATCATCATCATTAATCATCACCAAACATCTAAAATGCCCCCTCCAACACCCCCCACTCCACCCACCATAATAATCGGCCTCTCCGGCCCCTCCAGCAGCGGCAAAACCACCCTCGCGCGCCTGCTGCACCGCATCTTCACCCTCCCTCCGGACGCATCCACCCCAACTCCCCAAATCCGATCCCTCCTCATCCACGAAGACGACTTCTACCACCCGGACGATAAGTACGTTATCTCACTGTTCCCCCCCCACAACAAGCTAACTCCTAAACCCCATGGTTGGGGAGAAAAGAATCCCCCTCACAACCCTCCCAACCGGCACGGTGCTCCAAAACTGGGACACAGCGGGGGCCCTCGACCTGGGCTTCCTGGCGGCCTCGCTGGATTACGTCCGGACGCACGGACGGCTGCCGCCGCGGCTGCGGTCGAAGGAGGATCAGAATGATACGCAGCCGGTGGATGATGATACCAGTACCAGTACAGGGGCTGCGGGGGAGGAGGAGCAGGTCGTGGAGGCGTTGCGGAGGCGGGTGCAGCAGCGGCTTGGGGCGGGGGCCGGGGCGGATGCGGGGACGAAGACGGTCGCGTTCATGGAAGGGTTTTTGCTCTTCGCGCCTCCATGCGACACCGCGGCAGCGCAGCATCCGCTGAGGGAGGTCCATGAGCGGATGGATGGGCGGTTGTTTTTGCCGGCGGCGTATGAGAAGGTCAAGGAGCGGCGGGAGAGGAGGTCCGGGTATGTGACGATTGGGGCGGCGCCGGTGCCGGACGGAGCAGCTGCTGCTGCAGCTGCAGCAGCAGCAGCGGAGGGGGAACAGCAGGGTAACGGTAATGGTGACGCGGTGAAAGACGATCGGGAAAGTATCGACTTGGAGGCGGAGGATGATCGGCCGCCGCAGAATTTCTGGACCGACCCCCCCGGCTATGTCGATGATATCGTCTGGCCCAATTATGTCAAGGATCATGCGTGGTTGTTGCTCCCGGAGGAGGAAACGGAGGATGAGGACCGCTTGCTGAGGGAGTCGGATCCCCAGGTGCTGGTCCGGCTCGTGGGCCAGGGGACTCGCTTGCGAGAAAATGCCGGGGTCACCGTTGCTCCGGGGCGCGGGGATAAACCCATCACGGAGGTCTTGACTTGGGCAGTGGAGGAAGTGTTGAAGCACCTAGAGAAAACGGTATAGACGGTATAGACAACCTGCAAAGCCCATGGTGACCATTGTAAATATTCTACCTAGACTAGACACATAATTGGTATCTGCTTGATACGGCTTCTGCTTCTCTCAATCTCAACACAAATTCCTCACACTGGGTCACCGTTTGGAACAATTGGCCCGCGCCATCCCAGCCAGTAATCCACCTGGTCTCGGAATGAACGGGTTTGGTGTGGATGGAGTGGCTGCTGCTTCTCTCCAACTTCTTCTGTTCCACTTCCCAACCCCTCCAATTCGACCTCTGCATCAGCAGACTCCTGCTCAGTCAGTTCCTCCGGCAAATTGACATCCCCTCCAACTGACGCAGTCTTGCCCAGCTGGAACATCTGCTGAAAGTGGTTCTCAACCGCCGCCACAGAGCTCACCTCGCTAGTCAAATTAATGCGCCCTTCATGCATGACAGACGATTGCGAAGAGCCTCGAAACGAACGACTGAGAGCGTTGACGTATATGTTGTCAAGCCAAACGGAGGTAAACATGCCACCCACAGCAAACCCTACGCAAAACATCACAACAAGCCCCTTCGTTCGAAGACTCGCGTACCTTTCATTCTGACCAGCTATCGCATCTTCGCCACGTTGTATAATCTCCTCCTCACCATTCACACCACTAACTGCTCCACGAGCTTCTTCACCGACGTCCGTGACTTCTTCTGTCGTCATTAGGGAGGTCTCTTCGCCAGTGTTCACTACATCGTCTATCATCCCTACTGGAGAAGCATCTGCAGCGCCAGACTCTTCGGAATGCGATGTATGCTCCAGCGGCTGCTCCTGTGTCTGCAAGCCAGCCTCGGAGTCTTCAGGCGTTACCTTCATGGAAGACTCTCCAGGATGGTGATTTGCTGCATTTTTAGAAGGAGATTCATCGCCTCGTTCCAAGTGAGTGTATCTGAGATAATGCTTAGCACGATCATTCGAACCGGATGGCCCTGGGTAGACTCTAGGAAGCCAGCTGCTTGCTTTCGTCTTGTTGTTGTGAGAGAGTTTGACCGTCCAGCTTATGCAGAACATCTCATAGTTCTTCGGGTGGCAGATGATTTGTAGGGTCGAGGTACCCAGAAGCGTGTCATGTTCCGGTGCGATCTGAACCACCTGTAGCCCTGTCTTTCGAGTGTCAAGTTCGGTTCGAAAGAAGCCTTCGGGCCCGCCATCAATCGATAGTAACACACAGCATTTCTCAGCGCAGAAGCAACGATTGTGAAGCTTCACCGAGCAGAATGCCTGGTACCGAATGCAAATCGCTTTTTGGCGGTCGCGAGTGCCTTCCGCGGCGCCAGAGCAAGGCATGATCTCCGCTTTGATCTCTTGGTCCACAGTGAAATCTTTGATAATGCCGTAGAAATTCTGGTCGCACCGTCGAAGAGGTATCATAATGTCTCCACGATAGACTAACTCCGCCAGAAAGCAATTCTCCACCATCTTGTACCGTCCCAGGTTCGTGACTCGAAACTCAAGCCCGTGGTTTGCCGGAATTTGAAAGAGCAAGACCCCGATTTCATCAGTTCCCAGCCTAGGCAACCCCGGGATGACCAGGTAGCTCCAGCCACGTGGTGCTCCTTTCTGAAGCTTGATGGTCAGGGTGAGAACCATCTTGTATGGCACTGGTGTTATGTTGGGAGGGCTTTTGACAAACAAGATGTCATTGATGAGAATCAGTTCTGGTTCAGCAAATACCTCCGGCTGGGGTGAATCGGTTTTTTCCTCAGAGTCATCGGTTGGATGCTCCGAGATGAGAGGCTCTGGGGATCCAGGCTTGGCCGAGGTCGAGGTTGTGATGGGGCTTTGGGCTTCTGTGGTCATCTTATCGTGCTCAGGATCTGTGAGTGGATGGCGAGATTCTCGGAGGGTTTCGTCACTGTGCAAAGATCCATGCAACGATTCAGTGTCCGCCGCTCCGTCTGTGCCACCGAACAGTGGCCGTTGCTTATATTTGAGGGGAGTAGTTGGGGCTTCTTGGCTACATATATGGTCTGGAACTGTTTCCATGGGTGGAAGGTTGCTATCGACACGGGTTTTCTGATGCCTCCAAGACTCGTGCTCCCAAAGGGACTTCTCTAGGACTTCGATGTCTCTTGCCGTGAAGATCGAGTCAAAACCAGAGTCCGGTTGCTTATCCGTAGGCGCAACGTTACTGACAGCTGATTCTTCGATGTCTTTTGCCGGCAATATCGAGTCATTTACAGAGTCCGGCTGCTTATCAGTAGGAAGAACCTTACAGACAGCTGCTTCTTCGGTGTCTTTGTATTTTGCCGGCAAGATCGAGCCATTACCAGAGTCTGGTTGTTTACCCGTAGAAAACACGGTACTGGCAGCTACTTCTGCAAGATCGATAAGAGTAGCCGTGGAGTTTGAAAGGTCATTTTCCCCAACCTTAATGTAGCTCGAAGCACCCAGGCCAGCATCGGATGATGCATCTGAGAGCACTGGTTCGACTGGCTTGTCAATCTTTGATGTAGATCTAGAACTTCGACTCGAATGGTTAGAACGATAGCTCGTGGACAGCCTGCCTCTCAACCTCTGCATCTTCTCAGCAAGTGGACTTTTCGTGGGGCTTTTGTGTCTGTGAGCAAGGCCGGCAGAGACAGCATTGTGCGAGGCATCACCGCGTCCCACTGCTTTCTCGTTCGAATCTTCACTTTCCGTGTCTGATGCGGAACTCGGGAGACACGCATCTGCAGCGCTTCGCTTCCCTAGATTCTGGGCGTTGTTGCGGTCCTCAGATCGAGCGATGTTTAGACATATGGGCGGCGTTTTCATTGGGGGAGTGCTACGAGATGCATGTCGGTGGCGTGTTTCCTGAAGGCTCGTGGTCCTCAGACGTGTCACTCGGGGTCTTTCTGACTGAGGGCTGGCTCCATCAGAACGGGATCTGACCTCCCCGACCTGACCGTTGCAGGGTGACCCAACAACGTCCTTGAGGGAGCTGACGTCGCTGACCTCATGCCCCGCGTTGAAAACAGACGATCTCCCCGAGTCAAGCTTAGTTTCCTCTCCATTATCTTCGTCCTCAGTCACTGATGAAGAGAAAGCAAAGAGGGGACTGGGAGTACGATGTTCATATTTTGACTGATCGCTCTGACCGAAATGGTCCGAATGGACGCGGGTTACAGAAGTGCTGATAAGGGAGATGGCCGAGTGCTTTGTGTTCAGAAGCTGAAACTGCGTGTTGGGAAGACACTGGACCTGTGTGCTCATATAATCCGGTTGCTTGAATCAGCGGCAGACCCTCCAACCCTCCACGCACGCTCAAAGGATGAGGTTGGTGAATTTGCTTACCTCCAGGGAGATTCTTACGGCCACTGGATCCTCGAAATTGCCCGACCATGTATTTCGTATTTCCAGGTTCGAAATCTCTGGCGGGTTTGGATGTGATCCGACTCGTGCCTTTGCCAGATGTTCCGCCATGCTGTCCCAGCCGGAAGCCGTTGGTGAGCAGCAGGGCTCTGTTGAGTGGAAGGTCACAATAGTATGGAACGAAGGAGGAAGACGATGTCAAGTGAAAGATCAAAAGAAGGAAAGGGAAGGGGGAGCGGAGGAAGGAACACAAATGGTCGAGGCGACGCGTGGTGCCCGGAGGTGAATGAGTTAAGGGAAGTTGACTGTTTGGATAAATTGCAATCCTGCCAGAAACGGCAACACCAACACAAACCGTAGACTTGGGCCAAAATTACCTCCAACAAACTTCTAATTACTTCGCAACGAAAGGGGTCGGATTTCTGACAGTACCATACTGCCTAACTTCCATTTTATGAGCCAAGGAGCGAGCAGCAAAGCAAGAAGACCGGCTGCCCACCTCAGGCCATAATACTGCTCCAGGTCAAAAAATAATAATATATACAGCGAAGTCAGTAGTACCCTCCCTCGACAAGAGAAGCAAGAGCAAGAGACGTAGCAATAAAAATCCCTGGTGACCCATTTTAATTCCCCAGGCGCCATGTATCCCCAAGAGCCGCCGATTTCAGTTCCCATGAAGTAACACCGACCGAACTGTCTATCCAAGTATCCCATAGCAAAAAATGAACAGCAAGAAACCAAAAGCAAAAGGAGAAGAAAGAAACCGTCAATATCAGAACACATACATCGGGACGTTGATTCGCTTATCGGGGGGTGCCATTCGCCGAACCAGGATGGTCGAAAGGGGGCTGACCGGGCGCGGAACCGTATCGCTCCGCCTCGTTCGTACCCATGGGCTGAGATGGTAGGATCGGTGTAGCCGCTTGAGACGATTGATCAAAGTAACCTCGAGCCGTCGCCCCATTTGTCCCCTGGGGAAAGTTGCGGTTCCGTTGCAGAGGAGGGAGTATCGTTGAGCTGGTCTGATATTGCTGGGATCGAGGATAGCCTTGAGACATCATCGCCCCTGTCGCATCCGCTGTCTATCCAAACATGGTTTGTTCTTAGTCTATCATCGGGAATAGATGAACAATGGGAAAAAGAAGTCCATACCGGCGTGCCAGGCTGATTTACCATCCCAAGAGACTGCATCGTCGCCTGTTGACTCGATCGACTGTGAACACTTAGATCCTGCATCTGGGGTACCTGAGCCGAAGCCGGAATTCCGTAACTCATCTGCTCCGGAGTCAGCTTAAGCAAGCATTAGCTACGGTCTTCTAAAGGACACTCGGGTAGCCTTGTGGAGGGCAACTAAGTGACCGCCAAACGAAAAGACAGGCCGACATACCGTATAGTCAGGAACTCCCGCATGCCCCGTCGGATAACCCTGCATCATAGAAGCCGGATAACCCTGAGCCTGATTGTATATTGCAGTCTGAGGGTAGGCATCCATCTGGCGAAGTCGGCCATCTGCATCATAGACACCTCTGGTGCCCATGTCAATCGACGACATCCGCGCTCGTTTTGTTGGATGCGCCGCTCCGTAGTACGACGCGTAGTCTCTGCCTGCTGTTTGAGGGTACCCGCTGAATGCGTTACTAGACATCTGAATTGACGAGCGATCTGGGGATCGTGGAAGCGGCTGAGGATAATCCTCCGGTCGTGGGGGTGGTCGTTTTCTGTGTCACCAGTAAGCCATGCCGCTAGCGCCATCCCGGGCCGTACTGTAAATTCTGTGGTCTACCTACATCAGCGTCCGCGGTTCTTTTCTGATCCTCAATTTTACTCCTTGATCTGCAAATGATCGAGATAAAAAGGTCGACTCTCCCATTCCAGGGAAGCTTTTTGGGGGGTATACTGCATCCGGTAAGCATTTGACCTCGGGCTGTGCAACGGGTTCAAAATGAAGCGTACTCACCCGTGAAGCGGTCCGTAATGATGGATTTTAGGTAAGTTACATCGTCCCTATAGACCAATGTCAGCACGAGCTCTTGATTTTACGTCCTTTCCTTTCTCATTCTCCGCAGGGGGGCAATTCCCACCCCCGGTCACTTGGAGAGGCTTACTTGCGCATTTCGAAGAGAGTGAATTTGAGTCGAAAGTCGCCCTCGATCTTCACGGACAGGTCTCCCCAAACGAAGAACCCTCCATCTAAGAAAAGCGCGTCAGTACGCGGCGCATGTCTGCCAACACTCCCGAGCCTCCCTTACCGCTGTTGTCCACGTCCTTCAACCGGTGAAGCGAGGAGACCAGTGTACCAGTTAGTGCGGTGGATGGTGCCACGGGAACAGGATTGTCTTCTGAAGCATCGTAGAGGCTGCAGCACATAAAATAATAGGGACTCTGAAGATAATGTCTACTCGCGCCGATTAGCCAGGTGAAAGCCGAGGGCACGAGGGCTCGAAGTTTGCGGTCACATACTGTGCGAGATAGGTCCCCTCCTCTCTCACTCGAATCTGCACGATTGGCGGCGGATCAACTGGCTTGCGTTCTGTCCAGGCAACGCGATCCTCAAGTCAACGGCTGCTCGTCCATGGGACCAAGTTTCCTGGCTGCGACGTACCTTTCTCCTTCCCACCAGCCACGCGCGCCCGGGTGGGCTGCTGGCGAACGATCAAGTCGAAGTCCGCGCTGGAGGTGAGCATCGTCAGCGAGAAGCCCTGGATGACCGAGTAAGAGTTGAACAGCCAGCTTTGAGACGACCAAGAGCTGGGGGAGCGATAGCACAAACCTCTGAGAATCGCGGGCCAGGGAAGCGTCCGAAAACGTCGACGCACTCATCAAGGCGAGAGATTGGGGAGATAGCACAGATAGCACCGGATTGAAGGGAGCCAAGGGATCCAAGTCGGATATCCGTCAGGAAACGAGCAGGTGAACCACGTCTGAATAATAGCAGGATACTCAGGGGAACAGCTTGATATGATGGTTGAAGAGAGACAAAAGGTGAACCGGTGGTTTTACAAGGAAGAAAAAACGGACAGGCCGGGGACTTCCACTCTGGAACCTGGCTGCGGAACAAGGTGCGGTTCGGAAAAGCACCAGAATGAAATGAATGATACCTACCCTCGTCACTTTTGCAGGTGATGGATGGGTGGTGGGTGGGGGGTGGGTAAGAGAGTGGTCTGAGGAGGGGAATTGGAGTTGGTTAAAGGATGGGACAGCACAGTGTATGACCGATAGAATGGGGGAGGTGGGATAGTGAGAATTGTAGTTAGTAAGGGTAAGGCCAGATGAGTTTAAGCCCGTTGCAGCTGAACAAGAGCTGTTCTTGACCTCTTGGACCCAAGTACCGGAGTGGAGACAGGGTGGGAATTGCTGGTAGTTCAGCTGCCAGTTGCGGGATTGGTAACAGCTTTCGGGGAGGGGAGGGGGGGGGAGGGTCGTTCTTTAGGTAGGGAGAGTTAGTGGTAGCGTAGTAAACCTTAGAGCTTCGATGGATTTGGGTGATTGTGGTGATGAATGGATTGATAGGTAGTAAAGAATGGTAGGGACCGTTTGAAAACAGACGGGGTTTTGGTGGTAGCGGTAGCAGTAATAGTAGTAGTGTACGTAGTGTACGTAGTGGTCAAGTTTTTTTTTTTCCCTCTGTCGAGTGAATGAGTGGTTGAGTGAGCGGGCTCGACCTTTGGTTAAGGTGGAAAGGTGGGAGGAGTGGATGACTTTGACTTGGGTTTTGGTGGTTTTGGTGGTTTTGGTGGTTACGAAAACGGCGCCGAGGGAAGGAAAAAGATGGATGGTGTCGTCAGAATGCAAGCGGCAAGAGCCAGCCGAGCACGGTTCCAGACAAACCTTAACTGCCCAAGAAGAAAAGGAAGCAGCAGAAGAATGCACCAAAGCTGCAGCAGAACCTGTAGTTGTACTGTACCTTAACCAGCAGTAGCAGCAGTAGCAGCAGTAGCAGCAGTAGCAGCAGTAGCAGCAGTAGCAGCAATGGCAGCAGTAGTAGTCGAAGCAGTCGAAGCAGCAGCTAAGTCAGCCCTGGCGATCTTCGTGTCTCTCTCTCTCTCTCTCTCTTTCACTCTTGATCTTTGTGAACAATCGCTGATAGAGATACGGACGTATGGCTGAGTGGCTGGATGGATGGATTGTTTGCACTGTTGGTCTGACCGATCGATCTTCGACTATTTCTTTCTCTTGCTTCTTCTTGTTCCGGTTGATGATGTCGATGTTCAATTGTTTCTGGAGTTGACTTCCGGACTCTTTTTTTTTTTCGTTGGGGTTTCTTCTTCTCCCTTCTCCTTCCTTTTGATGTCTTGTCTTCTTTTCTTTTTCCTTTTGCCTTTTTTCCTTTTTCTCTCTCTCTAATCCGATTTTCAATTCCGGACCGACAGAGTAATTTCCTCACCAATGACGAAATATTGATTATCGATTTCCGTCCTAAAACTGCTCCCAATCTCCTTCTGTGTCTCTGTCACGAACTTTTGCCCGAAATCAAATCGGAGCTTTGCGACCGAGTAAAATATGGTTCATCCAATCCACACCAGGTCTAGATGATTTCCCAAATCAAATAATAATAAAGGAAATATGTTGGTGTGAATAATGGAAAATCCGATCAACCCGATTCAGAAAACCACCACACACAGACAACCGACACACAGACAAACCCACGCTCGGTCAAAGACGAACACAACGCTAATCACTGGGCCCCCCCCGCACGTCTTTCTGAAAAATTTCTGGCCAAAGTCAAAAATAGATCGAAATGAAGCAATAGGAAGCGAGAACAGCGACCTTGACAAGAGGAAGGAGTAAGTGTGGCGGGATTGAAACACCGCCTAGTGATCAGACTGTAGCTGAACGATGGGTCAACGCCGAGTCGCCTCCGATTGTCTTCTGACGCACAAAAAACTGCTTCCCTCCTAAAAAAAATCAAATAATAAAAAATGAGGGTAGGTGTGTCAGGAAATTAGATGGGGAAAAAAAAAAGGTGAGCCTAGGGTAGAGATTTACTGGAACGACCAAAGAAATAAATAGAGAAAGAGGAAACGTTCGGCGCCAGCTGAGCCAGACAAATGGCCCAGTGGAGCAGTCCCAGATTTGTCGAGCAACAACCGGCCACTCTTCGGTCGTCGAATAATGGTATCGTTCCCAGTCGTAGATGGGCGACCACGGTTAGGAAAGCGGGCTAAGGTGCGTATCAGTCTTGACGATCCGACAGGAACCGCAGCGACATAGGGATGATGCGCACATTGGCAGGTTCCGACGCAAGTGTGCTGCAGGAGGGGAGCAGCCCCAAAGTCAGATCAAACAGACGCCAAAGTCAACCTCGTCTGGGCCAGACGGACTGACGACGGACTGATCGAGCTAAGCTTGGAATCCACCGCGTCTGCGGCACACGACCATTCGCTTCCCCGAGCTCGAACCCCAGCCCACAGACGCAACGGTTTGACCTCGTGCACGCGGAGATGGAGCCGGTTTATGCAGGTGATGAGGACCCGTATCTAGGCGCCACACGCAGGGTCTCCGACTTCTAGAATTGGCGCCAACGAACTGTTCGATGCTGGTCGGTGCGCGCGTCTAAGCATTCCAGTCCGCGGACCAGTCCCCCGTAACTGTATGTATTGATTGGATCGTTATCGCCGTAATCGATAGCGGAGAAAGGAGGGCATCTGTAGAGAGCAAAAGAACCACACGCATGCACACACAACCACGTCCACACCCACACGTGAGCGCACTGGGGACTCGGCCTGTGCTGGCTCAATTGCGTTGCACCCTCACGAACGATCCTAATCAGACAAAGAAATCAGTGAGGTCAGAGTACATCACACAAAGGAATTCGTATCAACAATCATCTATCCCCGTCACAAGGACACGAACCTTGAGTTAAGAGCTCCTTCTTATGTCATCCACCGGGATCCGTGTTCTTGACAAAGAAGGATCCAAGGGCGAGAGGACGGGGCAGCGCGGGGGGTCCAGGGCCCTGCAGGCCCACTCGGAGCTATCCTGGCGCGAACACACGTCTTTGTTTTGCTGCGAGAAACGGCCTTTGCAAGAATTGATTGACTTCGTTCGTTTTTCGTTCTGCTGACTTTGTTCCTGCGACGCGCGCGCGCACTCACCGCAGGGTGCGAGCGGTTCTTGATCCGGTCGCAACCAAGTGGTGCTTTGGATCTGGTGGGCGACGACAACCCGAGTCGGTGTCACGAGGTATGATCCCCTGCCGTTCGGTCTTCCCCTTCGCCAAAGCCTGCAGCCAATTCCCAATCGAAATCCACACCCCTCGGGGATATTCTTCGCAACTTCTCGAGCCCTCGTACTTTTTGTACCACCGCGCGATCTACCTTTTTCGGAGACGGGTGTATCAATCGCCTGCGACGTTGCTTCTGCCTCAGTACGGTAGTAGTTTCCCTCACAAAAATGCGGATTGGGGATGAGGAGATGGAACGACCACTGCGGCCAGGATCGAACGGAGTGGACAAGGTGGCAGGGAGAGGAGGCTTGGACGACAGAGGCCAGTGATCGCAACAACTATAAGAGGAGGAAACAAAAAAGAAAAGAATAGCAGTGGGTGTGGGCCTCTTTTCAACGTGCAGCCGTGGGGAACAACAGATCAGGCTGGAAAGTCAGCTTGCTTAGCTTGCTGCACTCTAGGATTCTAGCTCGATGGATGCATCACATTGCCTGGATTTGACACGCAGCTCGCAGACGGTGCGTCTCCCCACAGGCTCCGTCGCTCCCCCTCCCACCCCCCCTCCCTCACCCCATCGAGAAGACTATTCCATCTGGTTGGAACGATTATTAAGTCATCGGATATCGGAAGACCTTCTGCACTGGCCAAAGAGTTGCTGAAGCAATGTCGACAAAGTAAGCATGATCATCCTAAGTACTGTACCGAGGACGAGTACCTTCATTCTGACCCAGAGGAGATTCAGCAGCCCTGAAGAGCTAACCTTACTTAAATAGTTGTTAACCATCTGGTTGGACTACGCTTGCTCTCTCCATGCATAATCCGAGGGTTGTTTGGTTCACGCTGTGTAAGAGCGCGGCTGACAATTACGCTTCTTCTCCCTCGGTCCATACAGCGTATCTTTTCTGTTTGCTTCCCCCCCCCCCCCTTTTGTTCATCTGGGCCTGTTCGGTTTATTGTTTTTCTTTTTTCCTTGGCCTCTTCTTTGCTTCCCCTGTCCGTTAGCCACTCATCTCAGATGCACTGCATTCCGAGACGCATACGGATCCTGGAACATAATAAATGGCTGTGGCAGCTGCATCTAGCCGCATCAACTGCGGAGCTACTGGCTCCCAGAAGTCCGCGACCGGATGTCCTGCAAGATTTGAGGGGACGGCTTCCAAGGCAACCAAACCGTTAATATTCAGAGCAACAGGATGGATCCATCTTATCCAGCAGTGGGAAGAAAAGCCTGTCGTCATCTTGCCGAAGGTTTGGCGCAGCATGGCGCACAAACTAAGAATCCTCATCGCAAGATTGACCGCGTAGACTGGATTAGCGAAAAGCAAGCGACCGAAGATTGGCACGGCTTATGCAAGGGTGAAAGAGGCCAATGCCCAGGCCTTTACGATCTGGGTCGGATGCCCGGAGGCGACGGGCCATTCGATCACTGTGCCTGCAAACCCCGAAAAAAAAAAGCAAACTCTGGAGAAAAGAAGGGAGGGGAGGAGTAAGTGTGTGAACGAGAGGCGACAAAAAAAATTCACACAAGACGGACTCAGATAAGGGTTGGGGTCACAGACTGATACGGTTCGGATTCGGAAAGCGTCATGCAAGCAAAAACAAGTGAATTATCCGAGGGAAGAGGGAAAGGGAAAACAAGACCAGATTCGTGTAACGAGCTAGAACTGGGCCAGCATGACTCCATTTCAGGACTGGACCGTCTGGTCGGGATTTGAAGAAGGGCTTGTGATCGACGCCATACGGGTAGGGAACCTGTCAGCAAGTCTCCGATTGCGATGCTTCTCCAACAATCATATTCTCCTACGGAGTACTTCAGAAGAAGTTCCGTTTGGTCAATGATGCCACGTTGTGACGGAGTCGATAGTGGACGGGGTTAATCGGCTCTAAAGGGGAATTAGGGGATCCGAGCGACTTCGATCGAGATCTATCCCCCTGTTCTTATTGTTGATGGCTATTGTTGGGTTCGTATTTCTGGTCAATTGAATTAAGACCAGACCAGGCCAGCCGTACGCCAGGCGAACAATCACAATACCGGCAGAAAAAAAGCCACACGCACACACACACAGGAGAAACACCGTGACCACACCACAAACATCCACTGTGGGTTAACTTATGGGGCTGTTATGGGGATTCAACTTCCCTCGGCTGCAATTGGCTCCCTCTCAACTTCCACAGCGAGCTGGTTGAATTTTACAGGACGAAGGTTGAGTAAGGGTGGAGAGGTGGTGAAGAAAAGGCCTGAAAGCATCAGAGGGAAAGGTGTGTGGCTTTTTTTCTTGATTTTCCTTTCGCCAGACAAGTTTTGAAGTTGGACGTGCTTGTCTTGGTCGTCCACAGTGTCTTCACCAAGTATGGAAAGTCCTTCTGCCGCCCCGTTCCCTCTTTCGTCGATGTACATCTGCTTGGTGGGGCTGGAGGGGGATTGGCAAGGGAGGGATGTGAAAATAAATGCACGATGAAGTGTTCGGTTGCCTTTTTGGGGCCAGAACAAGTTAAGGAACTCTCGCACGGGGACGCGAAACCGTTCCCGGGTATTGTTGACAGGCGGACCGTCGACCATCCCCAGTGTGAACCAGACTTTGCCAAAGCGCTTAATCTACGCTACCGTTATGCTTATTCTGGCCCTGCGATCACCGCCCTGATCTCTCCTTCCTCTGAACCATGGATGTTCACCACTTTGGTTTCGTGGTTTTTTGTGCCCCCCTGGCACGATGGGAACTCAGGGTCGGTCCCGCTGAGGTTTTTGGTTGAGGAAGATTAATTGAGTAGCTTGATCCGACTCTCGTGCCTGACAATAGCTTCCTGACAATTGCGTCGTTGAAGCAGAAGAACATCAGCATCAAGACAAAGGATATTGCAGGATTTCCTCAGAAGCGAGTCACGAATTACGATACCCCAGACCTATCAGATGGCCCACTAACCTAGCTAATCCAGGTCGGTCAAAGTCCCGGGCCTACCTAATACTTCTACTCCTACTCAAAAGGGAAGTGGACAGGGAAAAAGATCTGACTCGACTGACAGATCATCTCGGGAAACCGAGATATCATGCCAACTAAGACGCCTCTCACAGGAGCGATCGAATGACTTATCATCGAGCCGTGGGGGGGGGGGGTCCGAGACTTCTGTCCAAAGTACGGAGGGCGGACTCTGCTTCAGTTTATCTCCCCTTTTCTGCCTTTTTTGCTTCTTTTTCTCCCCCTCGATCTCTTTGTTCCGTCCGTAGCGATCATTGTACTCCATATTCACATGGCTCTTCAACCTCTTTCGGGAAGGATTCTTCCTTCACATCCTCACTAGGAAAGGGATGTCCGGCTGCAGAACCGCTCAATTCACCGCCACAATCAAATATCCCAACGATCATTATTGTCTCCACGTCCGCCACACGTCCAGACGATCTCTCAATGGGCTCCTGCAATTGTGGACATGCAGAGCGGGGTATGAGAGTCCGTCCTTTGAGGCCTCCTACTTTATCTGGGCAATGCAGTGACCCCGAGCTCCATGGCTCCATGCGTCGACATCATCGCGCAGCTCCCCTTCTTATATGGAGCAGACACCATCGACGCCCATCCAGAGATCACGTGGCATACGTAGGTGGAATAATAACGTCCGTTATTATTGCAGGTCTCACGGACGCTTGACGAAAGTACGCCGGATTGCCACCTCAGCAGCTAGACTCCATCCCGGCCTTATTCGGGCGCATGAAGTGCGTTGGTGAGACTCCTCGGCTGCTCGACCTGGCTTTTTCTGCACCGCACTTGAATAGTCAATTCTTGGTGGTCACACTCAGAAACTTCGCACTACCAACCCATCAGACGAAGGAAATCGTATAACCAATTTGAGTCCCGTAGTTGAGCAACAACAAACTCTCAGCGAAATGTCGAAGCATAGTTTGGTGTTCACCCAGGGTTGTGGTGTAGATAAGATCGCCAGGGGGGGGGGGAATGTTGAGAGGGAAGGCCGATCGGAAAAGAGTCCCTTCGCTTAACCACCAGATAGTTTTTGTGGCGACACCAGCACACACTAACTTATACACTCCAGTACTCTAAGTAGATCATCACCTCCATCCATCCACCAGCAAGTTACTTGGATTGAAGCATCGAGACTAGCTAGAGTGAAAGTCGCTACATAGCACTTTGGCAATTAAATTCAAGTCCTGCTTCTCTGCCCAACTCAAATACACTGCATATACACCGTGCTGTACTTAATGCAAGCACCGAGGTACAGTACATAGTCCAGCACAACATCGTGCTCATAGTCCAGAACCCTTAGCAGGTACTTCGTGCTTTGTAAATCTTGAACTACATGTCCATCCATACATACATACATACAGTACAGTAAATCCAA